TGTTAATGTATTGATAAATGTGTGCTTGTGTAGTGCATTTGTAAGCCAGCTTCATGATGGCTCCTCTATAGACAGCTTAATTTAAATTCAGTTCTGATTATCAAACAGAGATCTCTAAATGATCTTATTTTTGAGTACAATAGACTTAATGAGTCTACCTAAAATAATTCTTCAGTCTTAGGTATCAGTGTCCACCAAGCTAAGGCCCCATTAGCAATCATTTATATGCAAAAGAAAATGGTTTGAATTATTTATTTAGCCAAGAACAAAACAGCCATGTTATTTTGTTGTGCTTGTGTTTATATCTTAATTCAGAATTCACAGCAAATGAATGGCAGAAGAATCTCAAACCTGCCCTCTGACCTCCAGGAAGAATTATTAAGAGCAGTATAATGAAAGAGATGACAAACACATCAATGTTCTGTTCATGCCTGTATGATCATTGCAATAACCCTTGTGTAGGCTCTGTTAATGAGTACAGATAACATGATCTTGTTGTATTGTGGACAAGCCACTTGTAGTGTTTGAAGTGTGAAGAGTTCATTGTATCAGGCCCTCTTGAGTTAATGTAGGCTTTTATTCCTGTGCGTAACTTTGTGTGTCTGTGGATACCAGGTAGGGACACTGGAAAATGGAATGAAAACTGTGTGGTCGGATGTGGAGGCTGTGCAGAGTAAATTGGCCTTTCAAGAGCCGCTTTTGTGAACTATACCCCTGTTGAGATTCTTGATCCCATAAGAAATTTATGAGTTTGTGTGCGCGCATGCGTGTGTGAGCAAGCAAGGAAGCATGTGTCTTCTGTGTGTCATCATAAGCTCATTATTTTTCTTCTCTCCCACAGATCTGCGACTTGTCATCACCTCTCCTAGTGAGTGTGTGTGTCTGGGCACAGCGGCGCTTCTGTCACTTTGTGCTTCCAGTGTCTCCTCAGCATCCACAAAAAAACACCCAGGGACCACAGGCTGTAAGATTAGGTGAGCTTAAGGTCACATGCCTCTGGCTGCTTGTTCTGGCTATCTTGCCAGAATTCATTCAGGATAATCCTAATTTTATCACCTCTCAGCCTCTCCCCGCAGGCGTGTGACTTAAAACTTGTGAGGTCTGACAAATGTGACATGACAAGTTATGAGGTATTCCACTTTTCCAGAGCCATTCAGAGAAATGACTGAGGGTGGTGGTCTAATCACAGGAGCAATAAAAGCTTGCCAGTCAATCAAGCAGGGTCCCTGTAGTATTTAACAGAATTGTTTCAGAGAAGGGCCTGAATATGAAAGCAGCTGTAACCCTTTAACATGTGTGTATCTTGATTAATCATCCTGTTAAGGAAATGAACATGACTTTAACCTCTGCCTGTTCAGATGAACTGCTACTTAGAGGAAGTAGAGGTCTGATTGATTTTCTTTCACATGTGAGTGAGCTACATGTGGCTATCAATGCAGAAGATTAGCTGAACATGTGAATGCCTCTGTTATTGGATACAGTCACTCAGAAATATTGAACGGACACCCTATAACACACTGAAGCACATGCAGGGCACACACAACCTAATGTATACATTTAAACACATGCATAGGTATACTACACTTGTATACTCCTTGTATTTATTCTCATGTGTTTGTTGTTTATAATACAACAATGTGTGAGTTTTCTATTCTCAAGAAGCCATATAATGTTCTGAGTTCCGAGACAGATCGGATACAGTAATGTTACGGCTAATGGCATCCAGGCATTAACCAGAAGTATGATATGATATATAATATGTTGCATGTCAGTCATACATGGGTCATCCATATATCCTCTTTGGTAGCGATTTGCTAGGATAAGACCTGCACATGTGGCAAATCCATCACTGTCATGTCCTTTGATCATATGTCTTCCTCTGCCTATATGTCTAATGAAATAACCTGCTAGTCTAAACAAATCAGCATCTTTGTCACTGTCATGGGGAGGTTTCATCTCTGCAGCTGCTCACTGAGTGGAGCACATGTGCTTTTTGAAGGTCTTACTGAAGGAGAAAAGCATGGGAGAAAATGTTAAAGAAGAGCAGACATGTAGAACTACTCTAAAGGAATAGTTTGACATTTTGGGGAAATAAGCATATTTTATGTCTTGTTGAGAGTTAGATTTGTAAATTGATACCATGATTTCTTGGTCAATAAGAAGCAACAGCCCAGAGACAGTTTAGCTTAGCATACAAACTTAAAACTATGGATATGGCTCTGTCCAGATGTAACAAAATCCACTTAGACAAAAAGTATTTCCGCCTTGCATCATTTGTACAAATTTGACCGCTGAATTTGTGCAGTCTGTGTTTGTTCGCCTTGCACTGTGTTTGAACAAAACTCACTAATTAATTATCCAACTATTTTAAATAGTTTTGCACATAACCCCTCTTAACCACAACTTTCAGACATGA